CACATTCTGGTTTGTTAGCAGTATGGATTAATTTTCTGAACTAAGTTTTACTAGACCCCACGATGTATGAAATATTGTGATGAACCCATCTAACACTTTTTTGATTGCATAGGTTTTTGTCCCATCTAACCTGTTGACATAGGTTTTACATGTTACGCTATTTCTGGCAAAGAAACCCCATTATTCCATGTCAAAGCAACATTATTGTTATTGACAGGCAATATTAACCAGAAGAAACTCTTACAGTGGAATGAAATATTGTGATGAACTCCGCTATATTTGCTTCGGAACTCATGAATGAGCCTACATGTCTGTCTAATTCATCGGGTCCTCATATTCAGGTGGCGTACTATTTGAAGACCCCCTTCGCTTACAAAGTGGCCATATGAAATCATTAATTCCTTATAATTAAACCTGCAGTTTATTTGCAGGCTTGCATAGAAGAAATGGCAGCATATGGTCATTTTGTTATCAGGTTATGCTACCAACAGATGTCTATACATTTTGGGTGCCAGGTTCAGTGGCTCATTTGGTTGTAGCATGTACCTAACAAGCATAAACACCTGGTGAGTTTGCCATCCTCTTCCTTTGCCTACCAATTGTTCTTGCATTCATGCCTGATCCCGCTTCACATCTATCTGTTGCAGATTATTGTCCATGTACTACAGCTTGGGCCAAGATTAGTAGTACGAATATTTGAGAAAATTTCTTTAATTAGCGATGTTCCATGCTTTTGTTTCTATATATATTGCATGCAACCACATTGCAGTGGACCAATCTTAGTTTACCAAATGATAGCATCCAAGTATGTGCTTCATGTCCTAAAATAAAAGAGCAGAGGTTACTAATGCTAATTAATTCTGAACTTCCTCTCAACTCTTATCTTTATTATCCAAGAGATTGTTGTGTCTGCAAAGTAGATTTTTCTAAATTTGACATGCTATAGATTTAGTTTTACTTCTAATTTTCTGTTTAAGATTTATTTGCTCTGCCTCCTATTATATGAAAAGGTGCATTCACCTTCACCTATTACTACCTGATAAGCATATTGCTGCTAATTTCTCGAAGACCAGCTACTGCATTTTGCTGCTGCCTCTTTTAGGTTGTCCATATAAAATTATTCCCCTCCATTATCCCTTGATTCCTTTAAATGAAAAGGTTGCTTCACATAAATGATTTGGAATTTTACCTGTAGCGAGCAGCTTTGACATCCTTTTCCATTTTTGTCATGTGTTCCTTTATTTCAGAATGTATTCATTCCACTCTTTTTCCATGCTAATAATTACTTTTGCACTGTCGTGTTTGTCAGGTTATGCTAGCAACAAATGTCTATTGATTTAGGCCTTGTGTAGCTCCCCCCTAAAGTTTACTCTCCATCCTATAGAATGTTTGAACACATGCATAGAGTATTAAATATAGACTAAAAAATAACTAATTGCACAATTTGCGATTAATTTGTGAGACGAATCTTTTAAGCCTAATTAATCCATGATTTGACAACGTGGTGCTACAGTAACATATGTACTAATGATAGATTAATTAGGCTTAATAAATTCGTCTCGCGGACTACTGACGGATTCTGTAATTTGTTTTTTTATTAGTATCCGAACACCACATGCGACATCTCATGTGACACCCGATGTAACACCCTAAAACTTTATACTTTAAACAAGGCCTTACAAAATATTATGCTATATACATTTTCAGCTGTAACTCCCATTTAGTTTTGTAATTAGTAGGTTCTTTTTCTTCTTCAGCCAATAGAAGGAGGCAACTGATCTCACCCAGGCCTCTAGGGAATTGGTCAACCAGTACAACTAGGCTACTCAGTGCCTTCTTTTTCACTCCTGTATTTGCCTCATGTAATCTAAACAGCTGCATTTGCCTGCTGCTATGTAGTTTGTTGCTACTTGGTTTGGTGCCCAGTTTCATAATCTTTGCTTTTAAGATACTATAGGTATATGTTTCATAATCTTTTTGGACATACTATAGGTATATGTTTCCGGCTGCTATGTAGTTTGTTAATACTTGGTTTGCAGCCCAGCCTCATAATCTATTATTCTCACAAACCTATAATTCCTTCATAGCTGAATGCCTTGGCCCGGTCCTACTTACTTGGCCCCAAACCAATGCAAATACCTTCGAGCACGGCGTGTACATTCGGGACATAGGCTCCGCTCAACTGGGGTTAAGTGCCTACATCAACGATTTGATCATCGGCACATTCGAGATGAAAGTCTTCCAAATTTCCATTCAACAATTTGTATGCTTGCCTCCTGTTAACTAAATATTGTATTTCCCTGCTTGCCCTGTAGTCATGTAAAAGCCAGGAATGTGAACTATGATTACTTTGACTCATAGTATCTACCTGCGCGAAGCGCGGGGGTTCTGGCTAGTATATTCTAAAAGCGGTGAAACAAAAATGATTTAGAAAAAGGCAGCGCGCGGTGTTAAGCAAATCCAAACGAATCTTGGAAACACAGTTCATACATAGTTCAATCTCTGCTGCCATAGACCTTCAGCATACAAACAAACACGTATCTGCTCTTGTCAACACCAACACGGGCAACATGCATGGACATATGTTCCAATGCAAGAAGCAGCAACCCAAGGACGACAGGATTTGGAAGCTCGCTTGAGTTTGAAGGGTTTGACGTTGACCCGAATCTGCTCTGACATTTTGGGGTTCCAGGCCTGCAATGCAATCGGAGGACATGGAAGGAGACATCACGCGCTCCAGATCGAGATGGAATTTGCCCTCCCAAAGCAAGGCGATTAATGGTGTTGCCGGGAATTGTGGGGACACGAGAATGGAACAAAACTTTTGTCGGGTATTTGACTCGCCCGCGCGCACGGGCGAAACCTTGTCCTTCAGCGATTGGAGGAGGCAAAAACTCTCACCGCGTGCAGAATTTTCGCGTCATTGTCTAAAGTGTTTGATCTTGGATGCTTTTGTTTTGTGTGGTTTTGCTAGCTACTTAACACAAAGATAAACCGTGCAGGTTATATACTAATTGAAGTTTTTGCTTTAGTTTTTGAATAAGTTTACACATGCTGTTTTCGGTTGTTTCCTTCCTAGATGGTATAAATGTTAAATAGTCGTCCGCCTATTTTTTAGCTATCATTCAAGCAAGACAGCCATTTAAACAGGCGAGATGGCAGTTTAAATGGGATTGTTGGTAGTTTTTTCGTAATTCATTAGCTATACGCACATGGGTTATCCTCCAAAAGCCCTATGCACGGGCTTTGGCGGTGTTGAAGGCATCGTAATAATTGATGCAAGTGGCTACGACGTTTTTCTCGCGGGCACATGGGTGGTGATATAGTCTTAGAATTGATGGACATTAATTAGAGTATCGGGCTTTCTTTCTTTTAGGTTTTGTGTTTAGGTAGAAGATGAAAATGAATTCATTCTTGTTGTATCTTCTTGATGTAATAATGGTGAATTAATAAAATCCTTCCTTTACAAAAAAAAAATATAACACCATGAAGCATTTTATAACCGGGCTCCACAACCGCTGGCACACAGTAGCTATTTTTGGTTGCTACTTATTTTGAAACATCATGTTAAGCACTGAGAAAAATGAAAATGCTCTCAAGGAAAAAGAAATGCTAAAGAAAACATTCTTCTTATTTATGATATTGAGCAGTCTTTAGTACTGCATGTGTTTCACAATATATGTCCGGTCTGCACACCTAGAAGACACAAAAACAAGAATATTTCTCACTAAAACTGCAAGCGTTTCTATACCTTTTCTACAGTTTTTAGAAGCAAATTATGCACCGGATAAAATTCGAAAGACAGTCGGTGCTTACATTGTGTGAACTACAGGATCAGGATTGGCTCACCTATTCAGCATAGCTATCCAGTTCAACATACTAGCATGCTCAAAAGTCCTGTACCTGCAGTATTTTAAAAAACGTAACCTTATGGACTATGGAATGAGCAGCCATGTGGAAGGAGGACCAGCCAGAGCCAGCATGCGGTTAAGCAAGCTGACTGTTGAAGCAAATTGGACCAGATTCCCACCGTGGCAACTCACCTTCAATAAAAATTAGTGTAACAAACTGTGCTTACTAGAATAAGAAGCTTCTCCCTTCCAACACTTCGCAGTACGTGGCACACACGCTAGCTAGTCAATAAACATATGGAAAAAGCTACACAGGTCAGGCCGTCACTGTCTGTAGGTAACAGAAAACAATTTCTGAAGAGGAACCAAGTAGTAGTATGATTGTATGAAACTCTCTCTCTCTCTCTCTCTCTCTGTGTGTGTGTGTGTGTGTGTTAGGATTATGTCAAATTCAATGCAAAATGTTTAGTGGCCACAAATTATTTTAGAATCCCAAAGCACAAACTGACAAAAGTAATGCAAAGATCTGTACATGGGAAGGGATTTTTGGATCCAGATACTGGAGGAATATATCTTGAAGTTCATGCAGATAAAAGTAAAAGTACTTGAGAAGAGTTCCATACACTCCTTCCTGGCCCCGTTGAAAATTTGAATGCCAACAAGCTCTGGTTTATTTTCAGTTGTTTTGTTTACCTGGGGAGGCTCAAACTGGTAGATGAAGCACTGTTGCTTAGTTTAAGGATTGTTTTGACTGCCGTACTTGGGTATTCTAATGTGTGAACCGAAAGGGACGGAGGCAGTCTTATTTCTCCTAGATTGTCTTTATTGAGTCACTAATCCGGCATTAAATATACCATGACAGCTTCAAATAGAGAAGGAAGTAGATACAATTGTTTAATCTTCAGAGCGGTGGGGCTCATCTAGTCATTCCAAGCAGCTCTGGCCCTTCATATATATACACATGGTGTGTAATAGATTTGCAAGTGCAATAGTATACAGCTCTTGGCTCTTGTCTTCACCTCAGCAGCTTCATCCCTGAAAGCCATTCACAAGATACTACACATACAAGTAGTACACAGCAGACTTTGTAAGTTTGTAACCAGCAGCAAGCAAGGCTTCAAGCTTCATCGCTTTAGTAGTTTGCAAGATATGGAGGAGAGGAGTGACATCAACATGGAGAAGTCAGATGAGATCCTCATGCCGGGTTTCCGGTTCCATCCCACCGACGAAGAGCTGGTTAGTTTCTACCTCAAGAGGAAGATCCAGCAAAAGCCTATCTCCATTGAGCTTATCAGGCAGCTGGACATCTACAAGTTTGACCCATGGGATCTCCCAAGTAAGAAGATGCCACCTTCTTCAGAACTTCTACTACTTAGACCTTTTTTGTGGATGAATGTCTTGGAGTTCTATGAAATCTAAACATTTTCATTGTTCTTATTCATCAACAGAGCTTGCGAGCACCGGTGAGAAGGAGTGGTACTTCTACTGCCCAAGGGATCGGAAATACCGCAACAGTGTAAGGCCAAACAGAGTTACAGCAGCCGGTTTCTGGAAGGCCACAGGGACAGACAGGCCAATCTACTCCTCTGAGGGCACCAAGTGCATAGGCCTGAAGAAGTCCCTTGTGTTCTACAAAGGGAGAGCAGCAAGGGGGATGAAAACTGACTGGATGATGCATGAGTTTAGGCTCCCTTCGCTCACCGATCCCTCGCTCCCCAAGCGTCCGATCGATAAGACCATTCCACTCAATGTAAGTATTGGCAATCCATATTGTGCCTGTTCAGTTCAAGAGCTAAATTCAAATGTTGTTTTGCCAAGTTCTGAATGAAGTCCTTTTTCTGTGCCACAAACAACAGGACTCCTGGACTATCTGTAGGATCTTCAAGAAAATCAGTTCCATGGCGCAACGAGTGCTGTCGCATACCTGGGGGCCTCCACTGCCTGGGGCAACAGAGGCAGATATGTTCGCCGCGTTGCAGTCAGTGCAAGCTTCAGAATTTGCTCTTGAGAGCTCACTGCAAGTTGCACCGCCTGCACCTGCAGCTCAGTTCACCAGCAGACATGGCTTGCATGGCCAGCAGCAGCAGCAGCAGCAGCAGCAGCAGAAGGGTAACAACAACCCATCTCTGGACGGCTCCTCATGCAAGCTCATCAACTTCAACAGCAGCCCATCCGAGGAACCCCAGAACTTCCCAATCACCTTCCCTTTCGAAGTGCAAGCGGCACCGCAGAAGGCTGCAGCTGCGGCGCCAATCTTTTTCGGCGCGCATCCTGATCATCACCTCAGTGGATTCGTGGTCGATTCTTCTGCCGATGTCAATGGCGGCATCGGTGGCAGGAGTCAGGACTCCTCGTCCACCAGGAAGCCTAGCAATGGCTTCAGCACCAACAGCAGTGACTGGGGGGAAACTGCGGGGAGGATCAACTTCCCGTTTGATCTGGGTGCAGATTCTTCAGAGGAGTGGAGATGCAACATACCCTGGGAGTCCTTCCTGACTAGCCCAGCTGCTGTCCAGACTGAGCTGCCACACTAGGGCAGCGGCAGTTAGCAAATTGCATTGCACTACGGGGGGTGAGAGGTACTACTATCTCATAGGTTACAGTACATGTACAGTCTACAGACTACAGCTGCTGTGAGTGTGTGAGTTTCCTTCATCTGTTAGCATTTCTGTTAGCTGCAGAGATATATATTTTTGTTCAGTTTTAGTTAGGAGTGCCATGTACATACTACGAGCTATAGCATTGTTAACAGCAAAGCTAACAGAGAGAAGGAACCTTGTGTCGTACATACACTATTGAGTTCTTCAGTGTCATGAGATAAATATTGCACTTTCAGTGCGAAAATGCTGCAAGTTTGAATACTTTATATTACATCAACATACCAATATCTATCATCGTCTACGGTGGTCTTACGCTACGTACCCTATGAAAATGTGAGTTGTCCAGGCTGAGCTGCCACGCTGGGGTAGTTTGCATTACACTACAGTACACAGAGAGGGAGAGGTACTTCGCTGGACTGGCATCTCCCAATGAACCAAATACACCCTCCGTTTGCAGTTCTGTTAGCCGCAGAGACAATTTTATTCAGTTATTCAGTTTTGGCTAGGGGTGTCATGTACACAGCCTGGATAATATTGCACTTTCAGCGTGAAAACTGTGGGCCTGTTTTAGTATTTCTGATTATGATATATCGACAAAATAAATAATACACCTCTGCGACGCCTTACAATTATCTTTGCATAGATATATTCCATCGTGTATAAACATCATCAAAGAAAGAAAATGGTTTGGACAGTGCATAGTTGATCGAACAATCAAATGGTGAGAACTTTGTTGATACTACCAATAAACCGAGGTTCAATGGTTGTGTAAGAAATAGAATGGAAATGAAGAGCAACATCGAGCAACATGGACGAAAAAAGATGCTACAAACCAGAAGGTATTCGACAAGCTGATCTTACCCAGATATGGTCTGAATTCATAACAAAGCAACTAGGGGAACAGATGTCCCGATATTCCAACAATTCAAAGGTGAAAGGTATTCCAGTGTCCAGACTCTAAACTCAACACTTCAACAGGTATGTCTCACATGCTAAATGCTCAACACAAGGCAACTAGATTTTCCATCCACCAAAATTACTTTTCGCAGTGTACAAAACAATGCTAGGCTTCCATTCCTGGAGCTCTACTTTGCGGCTGTCTTGTCCTTGGTTTTCTGTATTTTCAGGACCTTCTTGACAATCTTCTGCTCCTCAACCAAGAAAGCACGGATGATTCTGCATAGAGTAGTTGTAACTCATAAGACAAAAAGATGACAGATCCTGGGCTTCCACATCACAATATATCCACCTCTATTTACTCACCTCTCCCTAACAGCAATTCCAGAGAGTACTCCACCATAAGGACGGTTCACAGTCCTGCGGTTCCTGGACAACCTAGACCTTTTGTACTCAGCAGGCCGCAAGTGAGGGATCTGGAGATATGGTTACAATAGCATTAGATATTAGGTGGAAAATTCACATTGAATAGCAGATGAATACATAGTTTCGGTGACTCTTAAGGACCTGTTCCGATAGGGGAAATTAGCAGATCATGTGAAGTAAATGACAAATTATGGAGAATATTATGTCATGGAAACAACCAAATAAATAGTCCAAGCACACATAGAAGACAAACTAACACATACGGTGATAAAACCAACCAACCGAAACTTCAACCTCAAACAAAAACAGAAAGGCCTAGGAAGTGATTCTGATGAAACTAACATGACAATAGTATATTTAATCAACAGGGAAAACTGGGGAAATCAACTTAGCTTATTTGGTTTCAGTGCCAACATCTTAACATAAATGTTTGCTTGACAAAATGTTGACACAACCACACAACCACACCATTTCATCAGATAAGCAATTCGTGTTACACACAAGATCATATGTAAATAAACAAATACAACATAGGATAGTATGAACACACCAATTTGCTCCAAGAAAGTTAGACTAGGCTCAGCCAACTTGGGAAGGTGATCTGTAGCATGTTCCTCACAATTCAAGTCATAACTCAGCAGGGTTTAAAAAAATAACATGCACATTCTCCTAACTTATAAGTTTAACACACTCAGTCTCACCTAACAAATAACATATACACAAAATGATGAATCTGAAGCAAGCAGCAGAAAAGATTACTTGACAGATCTATAATGTGTCACTCTGAATCAAGTATGTGGTAAGCAAGAACACTATTTGTAAACAACAGTAATAACAGCCAGTAACAATTAACAAGTAAAATGTTTAGACAAATGGAAGTCGTAACTATTTTACTTTAATTCCAAAAGACACTGCCATTTACACAAGGAAAATGTTTAGACAAGAGCTAGATCATGGGCGTGTTTGCTTGGGAGCCTCCCAGGCAACCAGCAGCTCAGGCAGCGATCCTAACCCCAGGTAGTCAAAATTAGACGCTTGGGGTAGCTCCTACCAGACAAGGTTGCCTGGAGGCCAACCAAACAGCCCCTAAAGACCCATTTAACTAGACATTGTCCAATATATACAAGCACAATGTTGCAGCAAATTGCCCGTGCCACAGCAATTCATATACCATCGCAGGACAATATAATGTAAACCATGCAAGCAACCGATTAAAATCTACTAATTCGATAGCACAAACATAGCTACCAGCTCCCCACCGCGGTACCAAAGACCAATGCATCACACCGAGCAGAATAGAGCTGCGGTAACAATCAATCACTCACCCCCTGGATCTTCTTCCCGGTGACGGGGCACTTGGGCCCGCTCGCCCTCTTCTTCGTGTACTGGTACACAAGCTTCCCACCTGCAAGAATCCAGCGAACCCATCAATACAACCAAGAACACACAACACAGATCAAGAAACCACAGACTCCTCCCAGATCGAGAAGGAATGAACAGATAGGGCTAACCTGGGGTCTTCACGACCCGGGTCTGGTTGGACTTGGTCGCGTAGCTGTGACGCTTCCGGTAGGTGAGGCGCTGCACCATCTCGCCGCCGCCGCCGATAAAACCCTAGTGAGGCTGCGGGGGTGGGTGGGGGAATGAAGGGAAAGAGGAGGGGGAGAGCTCCGCGGCGGCGGCGATAGGGGTATAAATGGTTGGCCCGGGAGGCGACGGGGAGCGGACGGCTAGGATTGATTGGATTGATCTGGAGGGCGGCGGCTGGCCGGATTGGGCTTTCGTCCGGTCGACTCGTCGCAATCGCAGCTGCTTGTTGGGCTGCATGGGCTGTCGCCTTGTTTTAAGATGATGGGCTGAGTTTTAGTCATCCAGACAATTGTCCACTTCGGCAGCACTACGTTATCCTGCACAAAAAAATTCGCATTACCTCTCTCAATTTTCGTAAAAATCCGTTTTACCTTCCTAAACTTCAAAAATGGGTAAAACACCTCCTCAACTTTTCAAACCATTCATCTTACCTCCCTGACCATGTTATAAGCAGTTTTGAAGGCGGTTTTGTCTTTTTTTTTTATTTATTTTGGCTGAATCTTTGAAAAATTATAGTAAATCACAGAAAAATCATAAAATAAAAAATTCAATTTTGTTGGACTCCATATGAGTAGATTTACATAGTGAACATATAATATTGTATGTTTTAGTACAAAGTTTTTGCTGTAACTTTAGATCTATACTTTTCTGTAATTAATTAGAATAGTTCATAGCTACAATTTTTATGGTCCAATTGTGATGAAATTTATATGGTGGGCTAATTATTGTATGATTAAATTGTAGTAAAAATTTTATACTCATTAGATCATGTATAGCTTAGTTATAGATTTATTTATATTTAACAAGCATAAAACTGTTTTGTAGGCATACTCCTCTGGTGGATTAAGTTGGGTGCTTGATAGTGGATGTACAAATCATATGACCAGAGAAAGGAGCTTGTTTTCTTCATATTCCCCGATAACACACTCAAATAACAATATTGTCTTTGGAGACAATTCAAAAGGGGATGTGATTGGTCTTAATAAAGTTGCTATAACCCTTTAGCATTCAATTACAAATGTATTACATATTGATTCATTGAGTTATAACTTGTTGTCCATTTCTCAATTGTGTGAAATGGGCTACAGTTGTCTCTTTACGGATAAGGGTGTGGAATTCTTTAGAAGAGAGAATTCCTCTATTGTCTTTACGGGTCGATTAAAGAATAAGCTTTACCTAGTTGATTTCAACAAAAGTAAAGTTAAGCTTGAAACTTGTTTAGTAGCAAAATCTAGCATGGGTTGGCTATGGCACCGCTGACTAGCCCATGTTGGGATAAGGAACTTGACCAAACTTCTAAAGGACGAACACATCCTTGGACTAACAATTGTTCATTTTAAGAACAACAGGATTTATAGTGCTTGCCAAGCCAGAAAGTAAGTAGGTGTACCTCACCCACCAAAGAGCATCATCACCACCAAGCAACAATTGGAGCTTATTCACATGGATGTCTTTAGACCGATCTCCTATCTAAGCATCGGGGGTAACAAATATGGTCTTGTTATTGTCGTTGATTATTCATGTGTTCACTTGTGTATTCTTTTTGTATGACAAGTGCCAAGTTTAAGAGAAGATGAAGATGTTCATTAGGAGGGTATAAAAAGAGTTCGGTCTCCCAATTAAGAAAGTGACAAGCGATAATGTGACTGAATTCAAGAACACCCTTGTTGTGGAGTTTCTTGATGAAGAGGGCATCAAGTATGAGTTCTCAACTCCATACACCCCTCAACAAAATGGTGTAGTAGAGAGGAAGAACCGTACACTCATTTATATGGTAAGGACAATGCTAGATGAGTACAAGACGCTAGACCTCTTTTGGTGCGACGCTGTCAACACTGCTTGCCATGCCATCAACTGTCTCTACCTACACAAGAAGTTGAAGAAAACTTCATATGAGCTTCTAACCGGTAACAAACCAAAAATGTCTTACTTTAGAGTGTTTGGGTGCAAATGTTTTATACTTAACAAGAAACCCAAAACCTCTAAGTTTGCACCTAAGGTTGATGAAGGTTTTCTTCTTG